TGAACCACTGAACCCGCATTCAAAGATGCTCATGTCTAATTTCAACCAACCCACATTATTAGACGATATCCATTATCTTCAGTGGACAGCTATCTCACATCTTAAACGGTGTAACTCCGCCGGTCACAGCACCTCACTGGAGTCCAGAGAATTACCTCTAGAAGCTAGTCACCAGTGGTCACCTGATGGGAGACGGTCGCACAATATTGTGGGTTAATTGAGATTAAATATTAACACAGTTGGATGCCGGCTCAATAGTTCGAAAATGTTCCACGGTGAATACTTTTCCACGACTAACAGGATGATGGCCAAAAACTTTTAATAGGTTTTTTGTGCGGTGTTTCATGCAAATAAGACGTGTGGTTTCTCGATTTATCCCAAAATCAATTTTAGGCCACCAACACGTCTGACGAGCGGCTGGTGTCATCTGAAGTGCTCCCAAATGGCTTTGATGAAGGTCGACTAAAACATTAGACCCATATTTGGGAGGATTGATTAATTCACCATTAAAACATAAAATACCTTCGAGAAGTGATGATACGTCTTCGCTCATTTTGTAAAACTTAGAAAACCAACGTTTACACTAGACATTCCGACAAATTTTCACTGCATTTATTACAGTTCCAACTGCTTTTCCCATATCAATACGAAGCGACTGAACTAACTTACAATCACTGTCGTTAAGTGGTCCTTAGAAATATGAATAGCTTGACAGAAAAGTCTTCACTTGGAGTATGCTTTTAGCCACTTGATGCTCACTAGTTATGTCGTGGTCAGAATACCAACCTCCCTACAGAGAATGGAATACAATGTAATTAAACGTCCTTTCTTCCAAACGAGAACCAGTGGGCGAACAATGGCACTGAAGTCTGTTTTTAAAAAAATACAGCAAGTTCATTTACTGGAACAACAATACTGACAAAATCTCAACTACGACTGTCCAAACAACAATAATGAGAACAAATTTCTCTATAATTTCACTGGACATTCTCATTGAATCTGGATTCTAACAACAAGCTGTAGATCCATCATGACACAACCACGAACGAGGTTATAGAATTATGGTCTAGTTCGGCATTAAGTGCACTTGTAGTGGCATTGGACAATAGCCACACAATCCATAAAGCTGTGAACACGAGACTACTCAGAAAATAGATATTCAATATTTAACGCGGAGAAATACCTAACAATGGAGAAGGCGCGAACAATGAATTGAATGGACTGGAGTTAATCGAATGGCATGGCTCGGCCATGCAGGCGTGGTCCCTCTGAATATTACTTTATATCTTCTATTCATATTAAATATATTGTTCCTTCTCTAGCCTAACCTTGTTCTACATCATGCATTGGTAATTGATACGATACAGTGAGTTGGTGTAGTCGATGGTGTGACTTCCACGTAAGATCTTATAGATTAGGCAGTTATATCATGACAAATCTACAAATTTAGGATTAGGTCTATTATTAGAGCAGTACTAATATCATAGTAGACCATAATTCTACACACTTGTCTTTACTACTAGATTAATAGACCTGTAGTTTTGTCGTGATGTGGCTGCCTGTTCTATGAGATTTTATAAGGAAGTCACATCATTGTTTATATTAACTCATGCTACCGCGGCAGTCAGCAGTACGGTGCTTAGCGCTTCTGAAGAACACATTTGGCTAGAGATTAAACAACATATTTAACATGAAAAGCAAAAAGCTACATCTGGTTACCGTGCCCGCATGAATGAGCCGCTCCGTACCGAATACATGTTCCCGCGTTCATCATTCTTGACATTTTTTATGATTTTAAGTGCTCGATATGAATCTTCTTATTCATCGTATGTTTGGTTTCAGGTCTAGTAGAGTTGAGAACCAATACCAATACAAGGTCACACTATTATCATACTGGCGCCAGAAAATGGGATGTCTACACCACTTATCCAGACACGATTCAACACCATCAAAACCGTTATTAACCTGATTTATAGCATTCTGGAAACTATAAACTTGAATGGTAATACAGCAACTCTCCTACAATCCATTTCGATTATGGTTAATTCTTGTCAAGCCTTTTTATTCACATACTTAACAGAAAATGTTATTCGAACAGTAACAATTCACCTATTTCTTTGTACTATCATGACCCCTACGCATATGTCCCCATCTAGCCAAAATGTTAACCGCCTAAATATGGCTCGACGAGTTATTCTCCTTTCCCATGAATATATGTACTTGAAGCTTATTATTAGCCTTTGCCTTGCCTCTCTGTGCCTTGATTCGGTTTGACTATAAAATTGCTTCTGTATTCGCTCGCTCACACACATTCACTTCTCGGCGCCAAATTCGCCCGATGTGTTTGTAGCTTTGTGACCTGTGTTATCCGCTGATAAACTGTAGTCGCCGCTTCTTATTGCCTTCTGACTTCGAACACCGTTGGTATTCATATAGTAACCGTTATCATGCTGATTTACTAACGAAGCTGAGCCATTAAAGTAGGAATTTGTAACTGTCACATCAATGGTAGTTACTCGCCTACGCCTGTTACTCCTAATAAAGCATAGGCCGCCGACCAGCATTCTCCAACTCATTCTGTCCTGGGCCTTCTTTTCTAGTTCTATCCAATTCTTGTTCTTTTTCTCATATCTATCTCCATTTCCAGGCGTAATGTGTTCTTCGGTCTTCCTCTTTTCATTTGGCCTTGAGGATTCCATGTGAGAGCTTTCCTAGTGAAGCAGTTGGGTGCTTTCCTCAATGTGTGTCCTATCCACTTCCAACGCTTCTTCCTGATTTCTTCCTCCGCTGTAATCTGGTTTGTTCTCTCCCACAGTTGGTTGTTGCTAATAGTGTCTGGCCAACGGATCCGAAGTATTTTGCGTAGACGATTGTTAATAAACACCTGTATCTTCTGTGTGATGGCTTTCGTAGTTCTCCAGGTTTCCGTCCCATACAGTAGAACTGTCTTGACATTTGTATTGAAAATCCTGACCTTGGTGTTGGTTGACAGACAGTTTATTTGAGTTCCAGATGTTCTTCTGTTGTAGATATGCTACTCTTGCTTTGCCAATCCGCGCTTTCACATCTGCATCAGATCCACCGTGTTCATCAACGATGCTGCCCAGATATGTAAAGGTTTTTACATCTTCCGAATCTTCTCCGTCAAGTGTGATTCGATTGTTGCATGTTGTGTTGCATCGGATAATCTCGCTTTTCCCGTTGTGTATGTTCTAGGCAGAGTTATGATTTATTGTGATTTTAGTAAAATACTTAGACCTTCAGAATTTATTTAGAATATTCTCATTTCCTTAGGCAGAATAACTTTATTGTAATAGCCGAGTATTTAGCGCTTTGCACCCTTATAGCAATGTATGTGATTCTTTTGTACTTCGCCAAACAGAACTGTTCAAGTTTCGGAAATATAAGTATGCACCCGCGTAGAACCTTGGAAAACCTGAACGTTCTGACGACTGTCTTTAGAATTAGCTGAGTGACAGCGCGTGACACAATACACAGCCAGAATCACCAATGATATCTGGCGTAGCAGTCCCATCACTGTTTACCCCGACTGGCCGTATGGTAAGAATTAGCGGTATAACGTCCGACTACTTTTAAGAACACCATTGGGCTAAATATAGAATAATATATCAAATGTGAGTAAAAACAAGTTATACAGAATGACCATGTCTACGAGGCTGAGCCATGCAGTCCGATGCATCACACCGATTCAAAGCGAACACCGCTCATTGAAGATGGTTCATTTTTTTGCGCTGGTTTGTTCAGCATGACGTTTATTTTATTATATTTTCACTATATTCATAATTTCACTGAGGTTTTGTGCTCGATTGGAGAACGCTATATTAGTCTTTATTTTACTTGGCCTCATCGTTTTATGAATAATCCTGACAGATTATCTAGGGTCAAAAAAATTGAATTTTTCGGCTGTCAAAACACAAAGTTATGGTTGTTTTTGTCAGGGACACGTTTTCTTTGGCTGCTTCAATCGTGCAAATATTCCCGAATAACAAAGTGGTTGTATAGCCCGGTGGCGCTATTGGTCTAGTACCGCAAATAATACCCCATAATTTCACTTCTGCTAATCGTTATGGGAAATAAATAAATAAATCATAGCGCACCACATAGTAATCTAAGCTATGAGAGCTTGAACCGATTCCAAAACCATTATCAGCGGTTTACGAATGTCTCATGTGTTCTAAAATCATGAGTATGTGCAGGTTTAAAAGAATTAACCCTACCCTCCCAGCGCCCGATTACCGCATTAAATATCATCAGTAGGCCTTCTTTAGACAACTCCAACCATAGAACTTGCGGTGCTGGAAAGTTTTACAAGGCATTATGCCTATGTCTATCATATTTTATTATAATGCTAGTTCCGCTGGCTAAATGACTAGTTCAAACTAGATCTTGATATACTTGGTCCCGAAAAGTTTTGGTCTCTCCGGATATTCATGGATTTGGGGTGGTATCAGTCGTCTGTTATCTAGGATTACCCACCTGTTTACAACTCGCAAATAATGGTCAAGTCCATCAATATTATGATGGCTGGTAGGCTTCACTCACTGAAAAGCATTTTCCAAGCATCCTTAAACATGAAGAAGCTATCGTTAAGTGGTTTGATCGAAATTTCAACTACCAGAGACGCGTTGCCTCAACTAACCCGGTCAGTGCAGACTAAACCGCTTAAGAATGAAAGCTTCTAAAGCATGAGAAACATCAGTGAGACCTGGCTACGATGTATTCAAGTCCGCTTAACGTTGGATTTACTTCAGATTCATTCGCTGAGATTTCACAAATACATTCTTTCTCTGTAATGCCGCGTAACTTAAGTTCGGGAATATAAGTTGAATCGCCACATCGATATTCTATTTCATTAGCGCTTACATTGCTAATTACCCCATAAATTCCCTATGTAGGATTTCAGCATCATAGTACGTCCAGTACGAAAAATTAATCGGTGTTATGCAACCTTCCGCATGGCACACTGACCTTGGTTTACCAGGACTAACATTGAACAGTGAGATAGAAGTGCTGGTTTTGAAGCTGTCGACGTCACGAATAATGGAACAGGGACAAAAATTAAGGTATTTGCGAAAAATTTCACTCATTTAGTAGCAGAGACATAGATGGAACACCTCAGGTAATGATTCCCCCTCAAATGATGTATTGTGGAGGGTACCCTGTAAATCAGGATCAAATCCAAAGTCCCTATTTCGGTTATGATCATAATCCCTTCAATAGTTCACCAAACTTTAGCCCAAACCAAGATACCGAACAGTCATCTATAAGCACATTTCCTCCCTCCAATTCTCAACCCGAACCAGGTGTTAAGTCTGAGGAGCCTACAGATTTTTCCGTTAATTCTTCATTAATTATTGAAGAAAACAATAGGAGAAATAACCAGAATATTGTAAACAGTTCACCCAGTTCTAACTGCAAACCAGAGCTTCTGGTCAATAGCGTTGATAATGCACTTAAGGGAACAGGATCATCGAAAACCGACAATACAGTACTTCCGAAAATAGGAAAAGTCAGTCATTCGGCTCATCGACCCAAGCTACCTCAGCAAACACTTACATCTAGTAGAAGTACTCAGAAAGTTCATTCCAAAGCTAGACCCAAAAAACCCCACCAAGAAGTGTCCACGGAATCTTCTAACAAGAATTTGCAACGTAAGTTGTAATTTTTGACTGGTTTATGATTTTTACGTTTATGCATTGTTGCTGATTTCTGCGATTTAAGTACATACTGTCTTTCAAAACTCCATTGAGTTCTAAGTTCATGTACTAAGGACAAGTTACTCAGTTTTTTTCGGTTCGTTTGAACTGTTTAAAAACCATTGGCTTACTCCCATAAACACGCGATAAACTTAGTGTCAAATAACAAATCAGTGCTTTCCTAATTAATCATGCTAGGTTCCATACTTTCCATATGTGAAAGTAACTGATGATTAAGCTGTGAAACAGTCTCTTAAAATTCAGAAGGCGTCACAATTTGTATATTAAGTACATATTCAGGTAATGATCTACTTTCATGAAATCTTATTCATCAGGTTACTCTGTTCACTACCATTTATTAGTAAAAGCTGTGCTGGTACATACATACACTTTAGCCCGTTTTAATCGCGTTTTAAGTATTTCTTGTTTTGATTTAATATAACTCATGTAAGTACAGGTTTACATATCCGTCTTAGAACCACAGTGAGGACTAGTAACACTGCTCCGTCCCTCAACACTCAGACCTTTAACTGATTGATTGAAAGCTGGACACTAACCAACAAGCCATTGCTTTGCTAATATTTTAAATGGACTCCTATCCAATACCACAACTCAGGTATCATCTCGATATTTTACCTTCTCTGTTTATAACCTGAAAAATGTCTAAGTATCTGTTAGTCTGTATTATCTTATAACAACCAAATGTTACGGTTTCATTTCCACCAACACCTCTTTATTTTACAAACAGAATCCAATCCTTATGCTCACTGGTATCAAATGATGTCACAGTACTACAACCAATTTTATTCACCGTATCAAATGGCTCAGCTACCGGTGCTACCTCAACAATCCACCTCTCACCTTTCTATGAACAAATCATCAAAAACACCTGCAAGTCATCCACTTAATCCTACTATAAAAAATGGACCTGAAGGATTTCAAATACCATCTGTAAATCGAATAGGATCGTTAGACTATGCAAACTACTACTATCAATATTACGCTGCAGCTGCACAATTATGGTCTGGTGGTTATCCATATCAATTTTTTGGAACATGTATTCCTGAAACTCCACGTTTTTACAATACTCCACATGTAAAAGCTTGGCTTAGTTGTCCTGGCGTTATTGTTCAAGTTAGTTATCATATATTTAGCTAAAAAAATGAACTTGAAAAAATAACTAAATCATACCTTTTTTAGGTTTTACCTTCAAGGCCAAGGAATGGAGAATTTGCCAGAGTTGAAATAATTAACCTGTTTGAACTTGTCAATGAAGCTGTGGCTGATGCAACGAGAAGAGCATCAGACAACACTACACGCACTTGCGACTCTGAATTTAGCCAACAACAACAACAACCATCCGAACAAAATGTTCTTTTTAATATGACTGATTCTGGCATGCAAACTCCAAGTCGACTCTCTAGTATTGACGCTGGAGGTGCTGAAGACGATGGCGAAGAAATACGTGCCTGTGTCATGGCTACTGCATGCTGGAACCAAGCGGAGCATCAGTTTTATCCAGGGCCGTTAAATCGTATAGGTACTCTAAAAGCTGATGTACTTGCTTTCTTACATGAAAAGCTTACGGAGATTCAAGATCGGCTACCTATCGATTGGGGATCTGCTGGCTTACTAATAATGTTCCTTGAAACCTTGATTAAAAATAATGGTGTAAGTTGAAGTTTCAAATTTTGATCTTAATTTAATTTCACTTTATTGTCGTTTTTATAGAACGAAAAACAGCAATTAAGGCATAATTATATGGATTAAATATTCTTGATTTCTCATCAGCTTCTTACAACCATTGATATATACTGAAGTGTCGCCTTGAGGTATGATTTAGGTGAAACAATTGACATCGCCGACGGATGGAATTGCAACGACAAAGATCATCTGTAGCAATAATGACAGTAATAATATCTGTAAATGAACGGGTGTGAGGTCACTTAAAGGTGGAATTTAACAAACAATGGGATGAAGTAGTAATTAAATGAAGTCTGGAAACAGATAGAACGATCGTGTCATAACCATAAAAGTTGTGAATTTTCATAAGTTTCAGACCACTTGAAAATGGATATAATAGATATTTATTCATGAGTTGGTTATTGTCTAGAATTAGAAACTAATAAGATTGGCTGTGTAATAATTAAATCAAACCTGAAGCGTTTACATAAGTTTAGGGAATTGAGTGAATGGAAGGATGACTTCGGGGTACATAAAATGAGAATTGGTTTACCGAAAACCGCAATGAAACAAACTCTAATAAAGCAATAATAATAATAGTAAAAAAAGTAATAATTGCAGGTGGTATTAATCAAGCTATGAAATTACAAAGGTGGTAATAATCTGATTACTGTCTCTTTATGGATACAAATCTGGTTTGCGTTTTTTAGTTGCTACTGCCTCGGCAAACTGAAGAGACATTTCGTTTCTTGTCTGCTATTAGTTTTGAAGGATTAGGGAACGTCAATGGTATGCCAGGTATCAATTAAATTCAGAGCTACCCACTATTTAAAACCACTGAACCTTTTACTCTCAGACTATAAAACGTGCTCGGAAATGCGAATATATACTCTCCTCTCTGTCCCTCCAATGTATGCTCCTTCCTACCTACATATAAGTTGGCAAATGCAGTTGGAGTTACTGAGAAAAAAGGACTTGTCAATTTTTGTTCGTTTAATTGAGCAGTTCGTCCCACATAACGTCGTCAGTCATGCTGTTGAATAATCAGTCTTCCTCATGGCACTCACCCTGTGGTTGATCGTTACAGTAGTTTCATCACCTTTAAAGCGCATATATAAAAAGCAGGTTTTCTCTTCTATATCGTGTTTATCACGTACGTCGGTTTGGCATACTTCTCGATGAATTTCGGTGCGTATGCATTTTCATGCAGACACGTGTAATAAAGGCGGGTTCCTCTTCTTAGCTTTCCTTTGACAAAAGTTTACATAGCCCTGTAATTTCTAATTCTAGACAATAACCAACTCATGAATAAATATCTATTATATCCATTTTCAAGTGGTCTGAAACTTATGAAAATTCACAACTTTTATGGTTATGACACGATCGTTCTATCTGTTTCCAGACTTCATTTAATTACTACTTCATCCCATTGTTTGTTGAATTCCACCTTTAAGTGACCTCACACCCGTTCATTTACAGATATTATTACTGTCATTATTGCTACAGATGATCTTTGTCGTTGCAATTCCATCCGTCGGCGATGTCAATTGTTTCACCTAAATCATACCTCAAGGCTACTTACTTACTTACTTACTTACGCCTTTTACTCCTAATAAAGCATAGGCCGCCGACCAGCATTCTCCAACTCATTCTGTCCTGGGCCTTCTTTTCTAGTTCTATCCAATTCTTGTTCTTTTTCTCATATCTATCTCCATTTCCAGGCGTAATGTGTTCTTCGGTCTTCCTCTTTTCATTTGGCCTTGAGGATTCCATGTGAGAGCTTTCCTAGTGAAGCAGTTGGGTGCTTTCCTCAATGTGTGTCCTATCCACTTCCAACGCTTCTTCCTGATTTCTTCCTCCGCTGTAATCTGGTTTGTTCTCTCCCACAGTTGGTTGTTGCTAATAGTGTCTGGCCAACGGATCCGAAGTATTTTGCGTAGACGATTGTTAATAAACACCTGTATCTTCTGTGTGATGGCTTTCGTAGTTCTCCAGGTTTCCGTCCCATACAGTAGAACTGTCTTGACATTTGTATTGAAAATCCTGACCTTGGTGTTGGTTGACAGACAGTTTATTTGAGTTCCAGATGTTCTTCTGTTGTAGATATGCTACTCTTGCTTTGCCAATCCGCGCTTTCACATCTGCATCAGATCCACCGTGTTCATCAACGATGCTGCCCAGATATGTAAAGGTTTTTACATCTTCCGAATCTTCTCCGTCAAGTGTGATTCGATTGTTACATGTTGTGTTGCATCGGATAATCTTGCTTTTCCTTTTGTGTATATTGAGGCCTACTGCTGCTGAGGCTGCTGCTACACTGGTCGTCTTCTCCTGCATTTGTTGTCGCGTTTGCGATAGAAGGGCCAGATCATCTGTGAAGTGTAGATCGTCCTACTGTATCCCGTGCCACCTTCAGATGTTGACGTCTTCGTGATCCAGTCGATCACCAGAAGAAAGAGAAAGGGTGGTATAAAGCAACCTTGTCTGACACCGGTCTTTACTTCGAACGAGTCTGTCAATTGTCCTCCATGCACGATATTGCAGTTTAATCCATCATAAGAATTCTGTATGATATTGTTTATCTTCTGAGGCACGCCTTAGTGTCGAAGACGCTTCCATAATGTTGTCCTGTCCACGCTATCAAATGCTTTTTCGTGGTCAATGAAGTTGATGTAGAGTGATGAATTCCATTCAATTGACTGTTTCACAATGATCCGTAGAGTTTCGATTTGGTCTGTACAAGATCTATCCTTACGAAATCCTGCCTGTTGGTCTCGAAGTTGGGCGTCTACTCAGTCCTTCATCCTGTTTAACAATACCCTGTTGAATACTTTTCCCGGTATTGAGAGAAGAGTGGTGCCCCTGTAGTTATCACGGTTGCTGAGATCGCCTTTCTTCGGTATTTTGATCAGAAGTCCTTCTTTCCAGTCCGTTGGTACTTGTTCTTCATCCCAAATCTTGCTGAAGAGAATGTGGAGTATCCTTGCAGTTACTCCTACATCTACTTTCAGTGCCTCTGCTTGAATGTTGTTTGGTCCTGTTGCTTTGCCACTCTTGACTTGTCTGATGGCCATACTGATCTCTTCAATTGTTGATGGGCCAACATCGATTGGGAGGTCCGTGGGTGCTGCTTCGATGTTGGGTGGGTTTAGTGTTCTACCCACCTGTCTCGTTGTTCTTCAGTGTTGGTGATTACCTTGTCTCCCTTGCTTTTCACTGGTTGTTCTGGTTTACGGTGATTTCCAGAGAGTTTCTTTGTTATGTCATATAGTTCTCTCTTGTTTCCTTGTCTTGCAGCCTTTTCCGCCGTCATTGCTAAATCTTCCACATATTTACGTTTGTCAGTTCTGATGCTCCTCTTCACTTGCTTGTTCACTTCTATGTATTCAGCTTGTACCGTGGCTTTTTCTGCTTTTGTTTGGCTGGTATTGACTGCTGCCATCAGAATGGTCAGGTCCTTTGTTGGGCACTTCTCGATGATTGACTGCAGCCTATTGCAGAATCGACATTTAGCGTCTTCATTTTAGTCGTTGGTAGACGCATAACATTGGATGACGTTCATTGAAATGCCCTCTTTCTTTGTTTTGAAGGAGGCTTTGATAATCCTTGGTCCACGAGATTCCTATCCTATAAGTGCATTTTGTGCTTGTTTGGACAGCATCAATGCAACTCCTTGTATATGTGGAGCATTTTCTTCATCATGGCCGGGGTATAACAGAAGCTCCCCTGAAGCTAGTCGTTGTTGTCCAACCTGCGTTCAACGTGTTTCATTGATCTCAAGCACCTATAGGTTGTATCTTCTCATTTCTACAGCAATTTGGAAGACTCTCTCGGTCTCCCACATTGTACGAACATTCCATGTACCTAAATAAATGGTTGCTCTGGTTGTCAGAAGGGGCATCGGCCTCGTGACTTCCGAAGGAACTCGGCTTTCATCATGAGGCGTCATAGTTCTTCTAAATGAAGACCTGACTCCCAGGGCAGAGTTTAAAAGGTCTGAATAATATTTTCTGGTTGGCGTTTTCTGGCGAGTTAGTTTTCTACGGGATGGGGTCGCTAACCCCATGCCCAACCCTCCTCCTTTATCCGGGCTTGGGACCGGCAGTAGCCCCTGAGGGGACTCAAGGCTACACTTCAATATATATCAGTGGTTGTAAGCAGCTGATGAGAAATCACGAATATTAAATTCATGTAATTATGCCTTAATTGTTGTTTTGATTTTATTCAGATTCGTAAAGGGCTCCAGTTTCATGAAATATTGTCATTGTGTTTACTTTCAGTTTAATCTTCTGGAGTTAGACTAGTAGGTCATTTAACGCATATCAACACAAATCAGGCGACTTGTGTGGCGCATATGTATTGAGTGGCCCTTTGTACCAATATTTATGTGTTCAATTAAATAAAAGTAAATAGTACTTCCTAATTAGTATATCATCTAATACCTCTCTATTTAGAAGTTTTACCCATATAAACAGTAGTAGTGTTCTTTCACTAATAGAAATCACCAAAGGTGTACGTACGAAATTCCTTGAGAAGATAATCCAAACTCTTGTTACCCATTAATTTTATTCACAAACTTCCAGTATCACCTGTCAACTGTTTAAAATAACAAATGCAACAAAATAGATACTATGTTCTTTGGAATTGATAAGTGGTCGATATTGTCCTCGGTCAAATTGGATTCATTTGAAAAAAAAAATAGAAATCCTATCGCGCTCTGATTTCGCATTGACCCAATTCAATTCTGAGCATCAGATTTTCCTCAGAAGAGATATAATTAGTCTTAACTATAACAGTATTAAAAGATGATTGATATTCACACCCAATCACTAACTAGGAGAAAAATTCAATTCTAAAAGTTGAGAAAAAACACACTGAATTATGGACATGCTTGAAACCTTAACGTAGCTTTGCTTATTGACCAACATATTATAGACACTTTTTAAAGTCAACAGATTACACTAATTGAAAACGTCAAGAAGCATTAAGACATTTGTGATTGTAGAGATTTGGAAATGAATTGACCGAAAAGAGAACTGTTTACTAAACTATTTAATTTTTTTGGATTGTAGGAGGATACATGAATGATACTTAGTGAGAGATAAACCACACCTACTTTGATTAGAATAATAAAATCCATAGCTATCTGGAGTCAGTAGCTAAGTGGTTAACGCGTTGGTTTTGAAGCGAAAAGCACTGCTTTCAAATCTCATTGAGCATCAACTTTGGTGTGCAGCTACATCCATGTGATGAGTCACAAATAATATGAAATACCCATCTTGGATTCCACTGCTTGCTATATTCCATCTAATCTATGTAAAGCGAAACCTATATTCTAATGTATCATATATATATATCGTAGGACTAATACATATCTTAATTGACACATTTTAGCTTGTAGTCATGGATATCCATCATACTGGTGACAGTTTCAGTGGCAATTAGTAGAAGCTCTCCACTTAAGTTACTTTTAGGTCTTAATACTTTGCTATAGAGCCTACGTGTTAGATCTAAATTGATTTTTTATATTTTTTAGTAATATATTCTCTATCTGGCGGTAGTGTTTTTGATGGAAATTGAATTGATATTTTCTTACATTTCGATACCACAAATGTTCTTTGAATTTTCTTATTCCACAGAATCTGCAGACATCAGATCTTGTAAATCTTTTACTGGAAGGACACAAACCAACTACCGATAGTTTCAGGAGTGGCTCCTATGGATATTCTTCTAGTTCCTATCTAGGAGTTCAGGTGCCTGTACAATATTCAGGTACTTTAAACAATTATAATCATCAGGTTGGGGAATATGTAAACGAATCGTTAGCTTCATTACCTGGGAGTCAAGTTACAAGTGGTCGCGAAAGTCCCGAGTCACATTTCGAAATAGACTATGGAAGTAGTTTGTTACAGCACAGCAAAGCAGCTTCGGAAACTGGAAGAATGAGTTCTGTCCAAAATATTATTCGACGTATGGGAGGAGTCCATATAGGCGAAAGGGGGTCGCGCAGCCAGGAGTCGGAAGGCAAACTTCTGGATCGTTTTCGTGAAGTAAGTACTACAGTAGACCTGTTCAATAAATACGTGAAGTGAGCTGTTTAGTGTGTAGGTGAAACATGAGAAAAATAACTCAAGAAGTCCATGAAACATTTCGAGTTGTCAATGAAGATAACGGATTGAACAAGTGGATCAATGATTTCAGTTAGGGATATGCATTTTTTTAGCTGACTGTCCTATGTTGACGAAAGCATCCGAGGTGTTATGGTTTCTCGTACTTTCCGATAATCGATTCCATTGTCCGAATAGTTACTAATGAACTGAATACTGGATTATGTATAAGTGTAAATGGATTACTAGAAACGCTTTGTATTTATATTCACATCTCGTTCTTTACCTATGTTAAGGTTTTGACTAATTAATTTGTAGTTATCTCCATGTAAATGAAATTTTTTTGGTTATGATCGTATTAAAAGTTAACACCATCTGTGAAGTGCACACAGATACATGTATTAAACACGTGTAAAGATGGTTGACTATTCAACCTTTTGATCCAAAGTTATTTCAATCAGGACTTTCAAATATCCTAGTACGGCTAAAGGTGGGGAGATTCCGCTTTCCCTCTCTAAATGCTCACATGGCCATGCGTATATAACCACTACCAGAAAACTCCTACTCACTGCCTTCTCGTTACAGAGGTGTTGTTCACGAAACTGAGAGGACGGAAAGCAAATATTTGGCGTTTAAACCGGATTGGTGGCTACGGAGCACCCACCTAAGGGATTTGGAAAACCTTGATTCCAAACGAATGGTGCACATGGGTTCCAGTATTCTGAAGGAAAAAATGACGTGTCAACATACTGTTGGCCGCCAGCTACCATGGGACTGCATCTCCTAACGTCGCTCCAGTGACTTGTGGATTAGACCTCTAATTTGTTTAAATTTATCTACTATTTCTTACGATCATACTTTGAGGCCCTGACAGGTTTACTCCTGAGATTTTTAAGGATGGTGGTCCAGTATTAGCAGTGAGATTAACCGAGGTCTTAGGTAGGATTTGGGAACTGGACGTAATCCCATCTGACTGGTCTCAATCACTGATTGTGCCAGTCTATAAGAAAGGACAAAAGTCCTCTTATGACAATCACAGAGGAATCAGTTTGACTAATATAGTGTCTAAAATATTAGCTTCAATAATACTTCGACGCCTAACCAAAGCTCGTGAAGAGCAGATTAGAGAAAACCAGGCCGGTTTTCGACCTGGACGTGGTTGTATAGATCAGATATTCACACTACGTCAGGTTCTAGAACACAGGCACACATTCAGACGCCACACAATGGTAGTATTTCTCGACCTTAAGGCGGCATTCGACTCTGTTGATCGTGAGGTTCTATGGCAGTGTTTGTCACTGAAAGGAGTACCAAAGAAGTACATTAACCTTATAAAGGCTCTTTACTCAAACACAACTGGTCGAGTGAGAGCTTATGGCGAACTGTCATCAGAATTGATTACCTCAAGTGGTGTTCGTCAGGGCTGTCCACTCTCCCCATTCTTGTTCAACTTTGTGGTCGACGTACTTTTAGAGATAACACTCTCATCTAAATTTCCAGGGGTTGAACTTCTACCGGGAGGTTCACTTGTTGACTTAAAATATGCTGATGACATAGTTTTATTTGGTGAAGACGCTGACAAAATGCAGAGTCTTCTGACCACTCTAAGCAACAATGCAAGCATGTTCGGGATGCGATTCTCTCCCTCGAAATGCAAAATGTTGCTTCAGGATTGGGTTACATCGACACCCGAACTAGTGATAGGGAGTGAAGTAGTTGAGTGTGTCGACCGCTTCACTTATCTTGGAAGTCTGATCAGCCCTTGTGGTCTGGTGTGTGACGAAATCTCAGCACGGATACAGAAGGCTCGACTAGCTTTTGCCAACTTGCGTCATTTATGGCGTAGGCGAGATATCCGCCTATCAACCAAAGGACGTGTTTGCTGCGCAGCAGTTCGTTCCTTCCTACTTTATGGCAGTGAAACATGGCCGGTAAGAGTAGAGGATATTCGTAGGTCACTAGTATTCGATCATAGGTGTCTTCGAAACATTGCTCGTATATCCTGGGACCATCGAGTAAGTAACACAGTTGTTAGGACACGGGTACTAGGTAAGGATGGCAAATCAATCGATGAAGTAGTGAAACTTCATCAGTTGAGATGGCTGGGACACGTGTTACGTATGCCCAACGACCGACTACCTCGACGTGCTATGTTCAGTGGTATAGGAGTAGGTTGGAAGAAAGCTAGGGGCGGCCAAACCAAAACATGACACAAGTCCATGAAGTCACTGACAAGTGAACTGAGCCATGTTGGTAGGTGTAGATTACCTGGTTGGGGACCGCGAGATGATAGCAACCGATGGTTAGAGACGTTGAATGACATTGCTTGGAATCGTTTGCAATGGCGCAGGTGCATCCACTCTCTGTGTTCTCCCAAATTCTAATCTTCTGAATTATTCATATCCCTTTTTTCCTCTTTCCAAATTTGTTTCACTGGATTATACTCTTTAAATAACATCTCCAAACCCTAATCTTCCCGATTACTGCTTATACTCTTATTACCTCTACCACTACGGGATTTGAATCGACAACTACATCTCTGTGCTAATGTGGTGTGGCAACTCGAACTGATGTACGTACGTACGAAGTTCTACGTTGTTACTGACTGACTGACTGAACATGTTCGATATATTTATCGCATATAAAGTTGTAACGTAAGTTATTCGTTTTCAGATTGGTAGATTATTAGCGTTCTCCAATGAATTTTTCATGTAATATCGTTTCTGTAGTTCTACGTAATTTTATAGCAGAACCGTCTGAGCCATGTTGGTAGATGCAGACTACTTGGTTGGGGTCCGCGTGACAATCGTGACCAATGGTTGGAGACTCTTGGTGACATGGCTCAGAATCGATCACAATGGCGTCGGTGTATACACTCCCTGTCTTCCCTTAAACTAAGAGATTAAAATCACTTCATATCTTTCTTTCTACGAACTAATTCTTTCTTCCTATACTATATCCTTATTGCAATCTTTCTCCTATATATTACCACCTTTGACCTAACCACTCCTATGAATCCGCTGTTCATCTTGCTGTGCTAATGAGGTATGGCAACCTGGACCGATGCACATATGTGCCTGGTCCTACGTTGTAGCTGACTGACTGACTGACTGACCGTCGATTATGCCGAACCGTAGCTTCTACTTTGACGGGCTAAACCGGTTCGTCTACCGTGATGACCTAGTTGAGCTATTATTGCTTGAAACATTTCTTTTTGAGATCATATCGTACCACCCAGGCCAGTTGAATGGCAGTCAGACTAAACGCAAGAAAACTTTGAGTTCAAGGCCAACGTCATAAACAGATTAATGAGTTATCCTTGCAGTAACTACTATCTTTAGCTATAATTTCTTCCCATCTACGATTGTAATAAAATCTCTAGTAAAAATTACACTAACATTTATTCTCAGTTACTTAATAGGGGAGAAATGCTCAAAAGTAATGAGTTTTATTATTATTATTATTATTATTATTATTATTATTATTATTATTATTATTATTATTATTACTCATTTACTTATTTATTTAAACACATAAGCATTGATAGGAGGCACCAAATACATATGCGCCACATTTCATCATTCGATTTGGGTGAGGGCTGGAATACTTCCTGAACGCCCAAACCGAAGCAGTTAGTTTTCTTAGAGGACCACTCCCTAAGCCTTTCACCTAGAGGTTTAATCCACAGGGCAGTAAAGCAACGTCAGGAGATGCAATCGCATGGTAGTCGGTGACCCACAATAGTTTCATATGACATTTGTTCCCTTAGGATCCTTGAGACTATGTACACCATTGGTTTGGAATTAGGGTTTTCCAACTTCCTTAGGCGGATCTTCCATGATGAACATAGGACAATTATTGAACATTGGAGAAGTTATAGTCAACCTCAACTATCTTTACCAATACTTTTCTGTCTTGTATTACCAACATGTATATGTATGAATTTTTTTTCTCAAAAAAATAGTTGTTAATGCATGGCTTACCAATAAAAGCGTTAGAACATGCTTGTCGATCTAAACTATGGGGTCATGCATTTACATTGGCTCATCGGATGGGTCCTTCAACATTTGCAAAGGTAATGGATCGTTTTCTAAATAATGACATATCAATATCGGATCCTATTCTTACATTGTATCAATTAACTGCTGGAGAAATGCCACAATCTGTTAATACAGCGGCTTATGGACGAGGTAAACAGCGGATTCATTTTGTATTTACGATGTAAATTTTGTAGAAGAGGCTGATCTTAATACATTTATTAACTATTATGTTTATTGCGGTATTTCTTAGTGCTATGGTTTCTCTTATGACAATCTAGCTACTTTTATTGCTTAGTATTCTTTATCACTACTTCACTCGGTAAGTCCCCAAATCAAAACGCGGTTGAACAGGAACGTAATTATATTCCAAATAAACAAGGTTGAATAGGAGTAGGGACCACAATAAGAAAAACATTTACATATTTATAAGTTTTGCATAAGAAGATTCTAGTGTCTTCTTTAAGTATCCGTTTGCGCTGACTGGTTAAGAAGTAGTCAATCAGCGTACCTCAACACAATCCTGCACGGAACACCCTTTGATCTAATCTATGTCCCGCTAACACATATCTTCTGTTTTATTCAGATCCAAATACGGCAGTTAGTTTTACTGTTCTCTCCAGGTAGTTCTCAGATTATTCTCATGGATCTGTCGTCTTGCATTGATGTAACGTGTAGAGCCACCAGAACCGTAACACTAATTCCTACCTTTCCATTAAAAAATCTTGTAAAATTAAAATCAGCCGGTGAAACACAAGTAAAAGACACAATTCAATGGTATTGGAAAGCTTCGTGTAGTCAACTGTAAATTGGATTTATTTCAAAAACAGACTCATCTGGGGTTCAAAATCTGTAGAGGAGGACCATAAGTTCTTTCAAGGTTGCTGCCAACTAGTATGAAATCCTGAGGGCTTTCTAAGCCTCTTGCTTACAGTTAGCTAACATTGATCCACGGAAGGACACTGTAGCTACTGTTAAATCACTTAATATGATCTAAAGATCACATCAGAAACGTGATTAGTAAGATTTGATAGTCTCAAAGAGATCTGGAACGCAATACTTTTGTAATGTAACTCATTTACTAAGTACAGGTTCGTTCACACGGCTCTGAGTCACACCCTGTGTGTGAAGGCTAATGATATACGGCTGTCCTAGCCGTAGTGTGTGGGGAAAATCTTTAAGACACGATGTAGTGGTTGATAGTCGAACAACCTAACCGCCAAGCCACCCCCATCAGTATTTCGACTACATAGAGTGATTGATCATTCCTCACAGTTTTGTCTTTGTCTTTAAGGGTTCCCTATAACCTCTACGACAAATTGTCTTCGTACAGATATGTACTTTCATGCTTGTAAAGCGATTTGAATCTCCCACATACCTTATGTCCAATTGTTTTTCGGTTTAAATTATATTGTGAATTAAATTTACTTTTTCCCTATTGTATATTATTCCTCTAGGCATAGATAATGGTGATTGGAGACCACATTTAGCTATGATATTGGCTGGTCACTCATCGCAATCCGACTTATCACTTTTGGCCTTGGAACGTCTTGGTGATGGTTTACTATCACGAAAACATGTTTATGCTGCACACTTATGCTATTTACTGATGAATTCATTGAAAAATATTGATGATAAACAGAAAGAATTTCGTTTACCTGGTAAAATCTGGTTAATTGGTGTCCCTCCCACTTATATTACTAGTGGTGGTGATGTTGTCAACAATACTTCAGATGGATTCCAGGAGGATAATATTGCGTCAAATCATACCTTATCCCCATTGTTCGCTACTTCAGAAGCTATTCAACTCACTGAAATATATGAATATTCTATCCAGTTGGCTAACCGTAAATTTCATCTACGTCAATTAATGGTATGTTTAGTTTTCTTTAATGTTATCTATTAACTAGAAATTTAACGATAGATCAAATTGGTGAAAATACTTGATTTTCTACCGTCAGGTCCTTGGTTTGAATCCCACATAGTTGTCAAATTTGGTTTGAATATTTGAGTAGTTTCATTAACTTTTATGTATATACATACTAAGTTTTGCTTAATGCCATCTACATAAAGCTTGTTGGTAAATAAATAGTATGAAGTGAAAATTGAAAATTCATCTAAGTGTTTAAATTTTACGATTATACTGAGATCAACGAGAAGACTCAAACAAGCAATATAAATGAGTTAAAATTGATCTCGTTGCACATGCCAGTGACTATCTGGATCCAGTAACCAAATGAATAACGGGTTGTGCATCTGAAGCGAAATGTACTGAGTTCGAGTCTCGATGTGAGTATCAACATTAGAGTCCAGGTACATTGAGTTGATGAGTTTCAAGTAGAATGAAGGACACTTCCTGGCTTTCACTTATAGCCACCATTCCAACTCTAAATAAAATACTTCTAACTTAATGGTAATATCGATGCGTTCCGCATAAGATACATATATGCTAAAATAGATTGATTGATTGAATCCCATAACATTAATGAGAAGATTCAAACAACCAATACATATGGTTTAAGTGATTAGTAAGTTTGAATTTTATTCAACGAATTTTGTTCGGTTAACAGATCCACCATAAAAGATAAAACAATAATATGTAAAAAGGAAATACATGGGAAGTCATTTTATAGCGTCAAACTAACATTAAGTACCATTGATCTTACTATTAATGAAAATCTCGTCAGAAAATTACAGGGAAATCGCCACTGACTTCTTTTCTAATTCATGTTTGGTAACTTTCCGACTCACTACATTGTACCGGATCTGAGACCACCACCACTGTCATTGCGCATCCAACGTAACCATCCTCTATTCAGTGGTGCCGACTCATCAATTGTACATCAAGCCTTACGGTTCGCAAATAATGCCCGTTGTGAAAACCTCTCGGACGAAATGTGTAAAACGTGGTCAGGACTGAAGGCGCCTTCTTAAAATGGTAGTAGCACTTACTAACACTTCACAAGTTATCATGTCTGTAATAGAAAAAAATATACAAGTTGTCACACCTCAACATTACGTACACCGAATGTGAACTACTCTTAGGAGATAACAATGATTAAACATGAAATCATTGACTAATAGCTAAAAGGCAAAAGGTTCCATAGGAAATCGAATAGGGAACTGCACGCATAGTAGTGTTGCACATTGATTTTGTTTATAACCTGTTTTGCGTTCCTGTCGATCCCCACTGGGGGGGACAGATTAACGCAAATCACCACTGTCCTCTTCATCATAAATTGATTTATCTTTTACGTTACAATATGACTGCCAACATTTACAAAGCATCTAGATGTACAGGCTTTCCTATATAGTGCGAGGTATATGTCATACTTACGGACACTACTCGCCAACTGATTGAAAGTGGTCTAAGTTGCTTGTGTATATCGTCGTATAGGAAGACTGCATTACCCACCTAATCAATATTATCAGTAAACTCTTACTTCAAAGTCTTTGTATAAACATTATCAAATAAGTGGTTCATTAAGGCTAAAACGTCCGATTCCCAACCAGGTTGAGTCCCACTTTGGATCTAGTATTATTATTCCTTACTTACTTACTTACTTACTTACTCACTCACTCACTCACTCATATACCTACTTGGAGTGTGACTCCGTAGTCAAATACATGAATTTGTACACCCAGTAAATAAGTTTTTTTTTAAAAGTCTTCCACTTTAAAATTGACACTTAATATCATGTTTATTGAAGTTTTTCACTTACAATTTTCTTTTCAAGCCTTTTCGTCTTGTTTATGCTATACGACTTTTGGACGCTGGTTTTATCGAGAAAGCTTATCGTTATTTAACAGCTATCGGGAATGAGATTCTTACTGAAATTGATGAAACAGCACATCAACTTAAGCTTCAATCAGTATATAATGATGATAATAATAATACATATGTTGATCCATTATTGTACAGTTTAATTAGTAATTGTCTACGATTAGCTGAACCATTACAATATCATCCAGAAATTGAAAGTTTCGATATATTACAATTATCAACTAACAGTCAAATAATGGAAGATTATAGTTTTGGATTTCAATTTAAAAATCCATCGTATTCTATGCCTGTACAAAATAAAAATAAAAATTGGATTGAACGATTAAATCAAATCTTTAATCAAATGAATCAAAAGGTATTAAGTGTATTTTGTTGTTGTTGTTGTTGTTTGTTTGTTTGTTATTTGGACTCCATGTGTTTGTGTTGAACCATGAAATCAAATGAAGATTTAAATTTAGTTGGAAGTATCCAGTAAGAAACTGTGTTTGATTTCGGTTTTGTGCTTAGTAGTTGATGTGAGTTCAAATCCCACAGGAAGTATTAGTTCCCTCAAAATTTCAGGTATATCTTGTTGACACTGATTATTGGGCATATAGTAGCTAGTTTCAAACTACCTAATTGCAATCCGCGTGATTATCGAAACTACTGTTAAGAGATAATGAGTAACATAGCCCGAAATCGTTCTTAATGACTTGGACCCATTCACTCTTTGTCTTCCCTTTGATCTTAAGTTTCTAAATTACATTTTAAATTTACTTTATTTCATTCATTCATATTTTCGTCTCGAATTAGATCTTCTATGCCCAGTTTTTCTATTACCACTGATTCTGTTACGATTATCTACACTATTGTGGGATTCTCTCTGAGAATTTTATTTCACTGTACTAATGAGATATGACAACGTGAAGTGATGTATACATGTACAAGGTTCTGTGTTGTGTGTGATTGATGAGCACCGACTTTCACGAAAACTCGGCCAAGTAGGGTTTCTTGTTGACTATTTCCAACCATCTAGAATCTGAACGTAATGTACGACATGTTGAGTTACTCAGACTAATGACCATATTGCAACTTGGTCGATAGAATTCAATCAACTCCAGATACTGCACGTTACAACATAACTGCTCAGTTCAAGTTACCTCCATACCACATTACTATCATTGATAATACAGTTATTCTGAATTGTTTAATATATATCTTGTTAAATTTATCATATTTCAATTGAAATCATGAACCGATCAATATTAAACCACCATTAAAAACCTGGAAGCACTAGACGGCCATTTCGTTCTAGTATGGGACTCCTCATCAGCGCGCATTCATGATCCTACACAAGAGATTCGAAAGCAGGACTTTCAGTCTCGTGCTGAAACACTTAACCTCTAGACCACTGAGCCGGTATTTTATTATTATGTTGTGAAAACTTTAGGTATATTGGTTCCAGGTTTCGGGTTGTTTATAACTTACTCTCTATATTGTTTATGTTTCAAATTCTAATTACAGTAACTTGTGTATATATAATATATAATATTAAGTTGAACTGTTGATTGTTTATCTATATTTTCAGATCAATCATCCACGCTACAAAACATCTGTAGAAAAACCAAAAGAAAATCCCAGTAGTGATGCTCATTTTACTAATGAAGCTATGAAAACAGAATATTCCGATCATAATGATTCTAATTATCTTCATCCTCATCATCAATCATCACTACCACCTCAACAACAACAACAACAACGTCAGTATCATCAATTTAATAAAGAATCAAATTATAAACCATCTGTTGAATATAGATCTAATGTTCAAACACATGACTCTTCTTTATTTTTATCGACGGATAATAGAGATCAACGTAAAGTTAATATTTTTAACTCAAATAGAAATGATAACAATTATATTCCTCATGAAGTCAGTAATAATAATAATAATAAGGATCCGAAAACCATCTCGAATTATTCTTCTATACGAAATAATAAAAATGATCAATTTGTAGATCCTATTCAAAAGATGAATTCATCTAATCAATCATCTATTCATCAAAGACAAGTTAGTACTTACCTTTTTTCTATAATAGAAATTCAATGTCACCTATAATCTAAAGCGATTGGTCCCTTTTATAAATTTTGATAGAACAATGAGAAGACGAAGTTGATCTGAAAAATGTGTAACGCAAGGCTGTCCACTTTCTCCATTTTTGTTTAACTTCATCATAGACCTATTGATGGAAATAACATTCTCGTCTACTGAATTCTCGGATATTGATCTCCTTCCAGGAGGTCCAATTATCGACTTAGAATACGCAGATGATATAGTCCTGTTTGGTGAAGACGCTGATAAAATACAGTCTTTTGGTAACACTAAACAACAATGCCAGAATGTTTGGAATGCGCTTCTCTTCCTCTAAATGCAGGCTGCTGCTTCAGGACTGGTCTGCGTCAACACCTGAACTAAGGATAGGGAGTGAAGTAGTCGAACGCGTTGACAACTTCACTTATCTTGGAAGTCTGATCAGCCCTAATCAGTTGGTGTCTGACGAAATATCAGCACGGATCCGAAAAGCTCGTTTGGCTTTTGCCAACTTACGTCACCTATGGCGAAGGCGAGATATCCGTCTATCAATAAAAGGACGAGTATACTGCGCGGCAGTCCGTTCTGTCTTACTTTACGGCAGCGAAACATGGCCTTTAAGAGTAGAAGACACCCGTAAGCTACTAGTATTTGACCACAGATGCCTTAGAAATATTGCTGGCGTCTGTTGGGATCACCGGGTAAGTAATAGTGAGGTTAGACACGGAGTATTAGGTAATGATGGTAAATCAGTTGATGAGGTTGTTAATCTTCATCGACTGGGATGGTTGGGTCACGTGTTACGTATGCCTGAACACCGATTACCACGTCGTGCAATGCTAACGGGTGTTACAGATGGTTGGAAGAGAATTAGGGGCGGCCAAACCAAAACGTGGCATCAGTGCTTGAAGTCACTAACTTCTAGTCTGAACCATGGCGTTTGAAGCGAACGGTACTGAGTTCGAGTCTTGGGATCCAGTATCCTGAAGGAATAAATCACGTATGAACCAATCGTTGGTCACCGGCTACCATGGGAATGCATCTCTTTACGATGCTCCACTGCCTTGTGGATCAGACCTTTAGGTCGAAGGCTCGGGGAGTGGCCCCTTAAGAAAACTACCAGCTTCGGTTCGGGCACCTATATCGAATGAGATTTGTGTGGGGCATATGTATTTGGTGCCTCCTTGTACCAATATCTTTGTGTTAAAATAAATAAATCAATAAAAATCAAGGTGAAGAATTAAAATTATGATTTATAATTGATGATTAAGGTTAAGAATTAGATTTATGGTTTTTATCACGAATTGATCTCATCTATAATACCAAAACATTACTTACCCAAATGCATGAATGTATTTCACACCAAAATCTGAGATTTGTTATCTTATATTTGATTAGTTCGTCCATAAATTCTAGTCTATCCAAAAAAAATCATTCACGTTTTACACTAATCTCATTCAATAATCTTTTATTGTTATGTGATTAGGTGAAGTTAGATCTATACTCTGAATGTGTCAGATGCCTAAACCGAAGTAGGTGGCCAGAGTGTGCGTGTGTGTGTGAAGTTCAAATCTGCAGTAACTAATCACTGAACTATCAATTCATCACTCATAATAGTATTGAACCTGTTCATATCTTGAGATTGCGGACTCCATAGAACAGCAAATATCATATAATAGTATTTCAACAGTAATAATCTACACGTTTATGATGAGATAGAGAAGATGGGACTTTCAGGATAGCTTTGTGATTGTGAAACTGGTTTTCGAAAATAAAGGATATTCATAGGTTACTAATGTTCAATCATAGGTAGCTTCAAACCATTGCTCTTATATTTTGGGATCACAGATTAAACCCAAAGTACTAGGGAAGTGTGGCAAATCAATTGACAATCTAGTGAGTCTTTATCGACTGAAATAGTTAGGGTATATTATTACGTATCCCCATCCACTGACTACCTTGACGCGTAATGATTACTGGCGTGAGAATAGGTTACAAGAAAGTTGTGGGCGGTAAAACCAAAACATGATATTAATCTATGAAGAAGTTGACTTTTAGAGTGACCAATATCAATAGGTATAGACTACCTGATTGAGGTCTGCATAATCAATGACCAGAGATTTAGGGTGAAATGGTGGGGAAGATTTGTAGATCATGTGGATGGTGTTGGGAAAGTTTCGTACTCTGAGACTGATGGTCGTGGAGCTTCCATTGTTCTTATGAACATCGTCATTACCATAAACTTAATGTAGAAGTGAAGTATTAGAATCTCTCTACATATGACTAACAGCTTGTCCTATCGATTTTGATTGGTTATTGTTGATCCTTAACATTTTATTGTCTGCTTCTTTATTTTGATTGTATCTCCCTTTGATCTGATTCTCCGCCTTATATTTATCCATGATCTTTCTAATTGTTTAATAAATTAGATTGATTCCTACATGTTGGTTGATTTGCATAATATGGCCCAAAATCACTCTTAGTGGCTCAGATCCATTCACTCTTTGTCTTCTCTTTGACCAAAAGTTTCTAAATTACATTCTAAATGCTCTTTATTTTACGAATCCATATTTTCGTCTCGCATTAGATGTTCTATGCCGTTTTTCTATTACCACTGATCTTGTTACGACTATCTCTACTACTGTGAGATTCACCCCGAGAATTTTATCTCATTGTACTAATGGGATTGCATGGGATCAACAACCCAATCCTGTAGAAAACAAACTTATTGAAAAATGCTAACCAGAATAAACCATTTAAACTCGGTCCTGGGAGTTGAAGGGTCTTCATTCAGAAGAATTATGACGCCTCATGATGAAAGCCGAGATTCTTCGGAAATCACAAGACCGATGCCCCTTCTAACAACCAGAGCAACAGTTAACCTCGTACTAATCCTGATGGTCGACTTATTCTCCTCCACGAGGGATAACAGGCGTAAGTAATTAAATACTAATGAGATATGACAAGTAGAACTGATGTATAAACATATCACTTTCCATGTTGCTTAAGCCTAACTAAGTGACACAAGTCGGCACATACTTTTCTTTTTTTTTAAAAAGCAGTAGACTAAGTATTTATTTTACCATAATTGAATACACAAATTTCTTTTTTTGTGTGAAATAATTGGCAATGGTTATTTTCGTCGATAATAAACACTCTAGTCAATTGATAGGGAATGGGAACTTGGACCGATGCATATATGTGCATGGTTCTACGTTATAGATGACTGACTGATTGGTCTAACTATCAATATAAGGAGAATTCATCGAAGAAAACTTTATTTTCGGCGAATTGATTTACTATTTGGAGCTGTGCATTCGTATTTATTATTATTTTGTACTTCTTGTAAACCATGATCAGTTACTAGTATCCTTAAACAGTTTTTCATGACTTCAATTGTTAGTTATGACCTTTACGTTGTTCCTTTCTTCTTCGTATTTGTCAAGTGGACAATTGTCTTTCATAATTCTAACCCGTAAATTATACTCATACCTTCCTATTCTTCCGTAACCAAGTGATTATTACGTAACCTCACTTCATATTCGGGAATCTTAAATCACTTTATGATGCCACCTATTCTATTCTTCTATATACTTATACATTTTGATCAGAATGTGGGTTTGTGGAGATTGCAGTAATTTTAATAGCTGAATTCATAAGTCTATCTAAACTAAACCAGACCATCACTAAAAACCTGGAAGCACTGGATGACCGTTTCGTCCTAGTATGGAACACCTCAGCAGTGCACATGCAGGACTCGAACTCAGGGCCTTCAGTCTCGCTCACGATTGCTTAATCTCTACTTATACATTTACTAAATAACTATAAATATACGGATGTACAGCTTAAGTAAATGACTTCGTCGCTAAATTCTCTTTATATTCTATTCAGTAATTTAATGGAATGATATTAACTATTCATATCGTTCTCATATTTCTAGTTGTTTAATCATGAATCATTCAGTCCACAATCACCACCTTCATTATCATCAGTACCATCTCATGAATACTCTTATCAATCAGAATCCTATCGTCAATTATCTTCTAATTCAACATCTAATCTTATTCAACAACATAATTATTCTATGAATTCACCTGTTCAATTGTCAAATTATCCATTGTCTTCACAATCAGATCAACCAATCAATTCAATGTTGCAATCAACATTAGCAGTTTCAACATCATCCTCATCATCATCGGTAACAACTACATTGAATGAAATGAATAATTCTATTTTTATGCCTATCAATCATCAAACTGATTCACAATTAATGATAAATAATGATAATAGTTCATTAAATTATTCTACATTATCTAATCAACAACCGTTTGATTATTTTGCAAATATTCAAAGTGTAAGTTTTTTTCTTTCAATTTGTATAATTTGATTTTGATTGATTAATTATTATTGAATACCTGGAAGCATTGGTCGTCTGTTTCGTCGTAGTATAGGACTCCTTAGCGGTGCGCATGCACGATCAAGCACGTGGGGCTCCGACCTAGAACTTTCGGTTTCATGCGCGAACTTTTAATCTTTAGACCACTGAGCCGGTATCCAACGGCATTAATGTGTAACTTCAATTGGTCCATGATCTTTCACAACCCTTTATCCATTGTTTGAAGTGGATAGCTATTTCACATTCGACACGGATTGGACTCCACTGTTTCAAGTCCCGTGTGCATTACTGAGAAGTTGTATACTAGAAAGAAACGGTCGTCCAATGCTTCCAGATTTTCAATGGTGATCTAGCTTAGATTGACTCGTGAACTCAACTGTTAAAATACTACAATCTCCACAAACCCCCATGTCGATATTATTGAGTAATTAAATTTATAATAATGTTGTGTTCTACTAGTTTTTTTATTTAATTATTTTGAATAGATTCAGTCACGTTCTCGTACAGTATCCGGTAATTCTGAAAACAATACTGTTAATATGATAAATTCCACGACTGTTGATCAATTGGATTCAGTAAGTTTTCATCGTACTAACACTACTATTGCTATATGTATAACCATATTAGTAATTCTAATCATGTGTTTGTAGGCTGGGATACTGTATAGGAGTTCAGACAGAAGTTGGTGATTTTCCCAAGAGATCGTTCCTTGAGCCTTCAACGTGAAAATCTAGTCTATAAGGTAGTAGAAAAACGTCAAGGGATGCAATCCCATGGTACTCGATAACTAGCATAGTCTTGTACTCGACTTGTTGCTTCACGAGTCAAAAGAACATGTATATCAGTACTTTCCAATTCTCTTAGGTCAGGGCTCTTTTATAACAATCCTGTTTAAGCACTGAACGTCCGCTTTTCATCCCCTAACTTTCAAAGAAATACCTCTACCATGTAAAGACAATCAATTGGGACTTCCTTCGGAAAGAAGCTATGCAGACGTGGGTGTATGAAAAGATATTGAATGATATAGGCACCACCCAACACTGTTAACTGTCTCATACATATTAATGAAAAGACAATACAACTTATTGCAAAGTTTATTTTTGCAGAACCGCAATCGGGATCATCATGGATGGTTAAAGTAGGTCATTTTCTCTCTATCTGTCATTTAAACAAATGAGATCCGATTTCATTAGAATTCATGGATTGAAATGGACATAATAGGGACGGAATTCTTTTTTTTATGAACGTTCGCAGATAGGAAAGAATAGACATTTAGAAAATTAAGTAGTCTATTCAGTAAATATAAGAAGTAGGTCTATAAAACTTTTATTTTACCATATTTGATATATACCAGTCTTATCTCTTTAAATATGTTCTACACTTTTGGCAAAGCACTTTCGTAATCTTCATTTCTATCATTCCAAACATATTTTCAAAATCCTTAGCAGTCAACGTCTTTAATGTTATACCAGAATCGTATGTACAGAGGATTTCCAACTGATTAATCACTGAGTAGCTACCAACGTTATAGTTGTCTAGTCCTTTAGTTCTTATCGAATTCCACTGCTGCAATGCGGCCACTAGTCTGAATGAATCAAAATCATAGTCTCTGTGTTGAGATTTTAAGTGGCTGAAAATAGTCATCAAGAAACCCTACTTGATCTAGGTTTCGTGGTAATTGACAATAAACACTAAGGTATCCCTGTAATTTTGAAGAAGCTAATACTTTCCTTGGGAGTTTAAACCCTGTTTACCTCATTTCGCAATATGAGGCATTATCACTGAACTATTCAGGCCGCGATTTCCCTTGTTCGCTTCATTATCAAGCACTTATCTGAACTGTGAGTTGGATGTCAAAAAGCGCAAGTGGTTGTACACGCTTAGAATCTTGACAGCTCAGCTTATCTGTCTGTTCAACAGATTATGTAATAAGATATATATATGATAATACTTGGCTCACAAAATGTTCTATTTAACCCACTTTTGTCTATTAATTCCTGCCATATATCCAGTGATATTTTGAATATAACTCATCCTGCCCACCAAAATGCTTTTGACTTACTGACTGATTTACAATGCTCTGGTACGGCCGAGAATGTGGAGAGTCAGATCTCCCTCTAGAAATGCTCTCAAGTGACCACGTGCATACATCCACTGACAAGGAAGCCCTATTCACTGCCTTCTCGCTACAAGGGTGTTGTTTACGAAATTGAGAGGACGAAAAGCGCATGTCTAGTGCTTTAACCGGGTTGGTGGACATAGAGTCCACCTAGGGGAGTTGGAAAACCCTGATTCCATACCAATGGTGGACATGGGCTCCAGTATCCTGATGGAACAAATGGTGTATGAACCAATCGTTGGCCACTGGCTACCACGGGACTGCATCTCCTTACATTGCTCCACTGCCTCGCGGATTAGACCTTTAGGTCAGAGGCTTCGGGTGTGGCCCCTAAGAAAACCACCTGTTTCGGTTTGGGCACCCTCGCAGTATCACAGCCCTCACACATATCAAATGAAATCTATGTGGCGCATATGTATTTGGCGCTGCCTTGTACCATTTTTTTGTGTTTAAATAAATAAACTAAAACTGATCCCAAAGCCCATTTCGAAATGTAATTCAGTACTTTCAAAAAACAAAACTAAAGATTGATTCAGATATTCCTCAATCTAATGATGATAACTGTTTAACATGCCTGTATTATTGTCCTAGTGGGTACCTAAACTCTCTCTGTGTGTGTGCGTCAAAATACAATCCTCATTAAATTAAATTTTGTTTTATTTTTCTAATATTTCAGTCATCCAATAATAGTCGGAATTTCTTATCTACCAAATATGAAAATTCATTTACAAACGAACAACATTTTCAACAACCTCAGAAACAATCTATTTCTAATTTATCACAAATGAATTATCTTCCTCAACCTTCTAGACATCCATCTTCAATGATGAATGATCATTTCAAAGATTACAATAATACTCTTGCTACTACTACTACTGCTACTACTTCCACTACTACTATTAATAATGATAATAATAGTAGTAGTGAACGTTTTACACAGGACAAATCAAGTGATTTGAATAATTTAGATAAAAATGAACAACAATCAAAAGTAATGATATAGTTTGTTTGTTTCTTCGTCGTTTTAATCATTTTTGTATATATATATATATTTGATTGACATCATTAGATGGTGATTGGACGTAGTCGACAGGATACCCTGGACCCGGGTTTCGTGCTACTCGTCAGCAAGGTGTACCTGTAATCTTGAGGGAACTGATGCTCCCTGGCTGATTCGATCTCGTGTCACCCAGCTTCACGCTCAGAGACGTCACCACTGAGCTATCCGAGCCGCGACTGAGATGTAATCACAGTTGATTGATCACTGGGTGGTGATCAATGTCATGCGTGTCTAGTCTTTGTTAGTGCAGATCGAATGCTATGGATCATGATTGACATAATTTCCTCTAATGATTTGTTAAGAAGGTGGTTTAGTGGTGGTTTAGACCTTTTATTTTCAGTCACCAAGTTATTGGTCCGAACTCCGTTCAGTCTATTTTAATAAATTCATTGGATGTCAATTTAGTGGTATAACAAAAAGGAGTGCTCGTTACAATATTTAGATGTCCTAGGTTCAATCCATTATGTGTTCATGATTGTGCAATTCTAAAGAGATCCTAAACCTAGAATTATTCTCTAACTGAAATATAAAATATAAGTGGTAAGGTTTCTCTTGGAATACTTTTTTTGTCACAAAATAGGATGCTAGACCTCCATTTAATTCAGATGACACTTTACTCCAAGCTTCATAGTTCCACGCATTACGGTCAAGTAAACAAGCTTTGAGTTTACATCACATGTAAATACTCAGGTATCTGATGCAAATATATGTCATTCGTTCAAGTTACTCACAATTACTCACATTAAGCACTATCCATGGTTAGTTTGAAATGAATTCATCCTATATTGATGATAAATTGTTAGTTTTATAATTACTAATAACCGTTCTTAATGTCATTAAGGCTGGCGAATTATATTTACAGTATGGCGATTGACTGAACAGTAGATCAACGATCCAACCTTCGTTTCATTTGCTCTAGTTTAACCGTTCACATAGTATTACTAGAATTTACACAATAAATGTAGATCAAAGACGAGCATATAAAGACGTTTCTTAGGAAACGAATTACAAGCAAACAGTAATTCACAATTCACATTCAAATAACGAGTTGAAATTTGAATTTCTTCTTTCGATCATTTAGTATACTTACCATTTATACAATCACTTGATTTCTAGTCAGTTTTTTCTTTTTAGATCACTAAAATGTATCATTTCATTAGAAATCAAACAAAATACCATACCATGATAAGTGTCAGATATCTATATACATACCGACCGCCGACTACCTCGATGTGCGATGTTTTGTTGTATAGGAGTAGATTGGAAGAAAGCTAGGGGCGGCCAAACCAAAACATGACACAAGTCCATGAAGTCACTGACAAGTGGACTGAGTCATGTTGGTAGGTGTAGACTACCTGGTTGGGATCCTCGAGGTGATAGCAACCGATGGTTAGAGACCCTGAATGACATGGCTCAAAATCGTTTGCAATGGCGCAGGTGCATCCACTCTTTGTGTTCTTCCAAATTCTAATCTTCTGAATTCTTCATGTCCCTTTCTTTTTGTCTCTTTCCAAATTTATTTCACTGGATTATACTCGTTGAATAACATCTTTAAACCCTAATTTTTCTGATTACAGCTTATAATTTTACTACATCTAGCACTACGGGATTTTAATCGACCACTGCATCTCTGCGCTAATGTGGTGTGGCAACTCGAACTAATGTACGTACGTACGAAGTTCTACGTTGTTACTGACTGACTGACTGATATACATACTTTTAGTCCCACTATTCTAACCCTCCTCTAAGGTGTGCTCATCAAACTAACCTAATCGTCTATTGTTCAGTTAGCTTAAAAACTATTAGTTCTTTAGTCAACAGTTTAACTCTTTTGATGAAGCTCAGTGAAATAACAGTGTATTCCTTTGAAAAAATTACATTGGTTTATACTGTTTCATAGATTTATGCTTATGACTGATTTGAAATGTCTACCTTGATCAACATTATTTGATCTAAAGTAGATTTTATTGTACTAGGTGTATGTGCGTGTGTGTGAGAGAGAGACTTAACCAAGTACACTAATCTATTACTATTATTATTCCCTTTATTCAATATTATCATGTTTATAACAGTAAAATAATCATGATATCTTACTTCTAGAATGGGGGTTTGTGGAGATTGTGGTGAATTTAATAGTCGAATTCATGGGTCGATATATAAGCTAGACCGCTATTGTAAGCATATTAGAACGAAAAGGCTGTCTACTACTTCCAGGTTTACAATGATGGTCTAGTTTAAGTCGACTCATGAATTCAACTATTAAAATAATATCCTAATTGGTAGTAGATTGGGTTTCTGACATTTCTCATTTTCAAAGCATACATTACGTATGCTCAATCACACTGTTTATGTTAACCCTTTGATTTTGGTTGGTATAAAAGCAGAAGGTTCAATGTAAGCTACGTTCAACCAAACCAAGATGTGATATCAGTTCACGAAATCATTAACTGCTAGTCTGAACTGTGTTGTTAAGTATAAGCTACCCAATGTGGATCTGTACGATTATTGTAATTAGTTTTAGGAGACTGTGTAACGTTGCTGAGAATCCATTACAATCGTACGAATATATTTACTCTTTGTATTTCCTTAGGTTTTGAGTTTCAAAGTTAATTTAAATTGTTTCTATTCCATAAATTTACCTCTTCTTCTCGAGGAGTATGGTCTATCCTTTATTTTTTCTATTACCTCTAACATTTGTCTTGATAATTTCAATTCACTGTAGTGTAACATTTTTAAACTGATCGGTAAAATTGCTTACGATTAATTAAACGATCAACGACGAGGAGTCATAACTTAATTTCATAATTCCGTTGTATGGACCATAGAACCTGACATATACATACATCCATTCAGATTTTCATACCATATTAACACAGAGAAGTAAAATTATTTCAAGATAAATCCCAGAGTAGTAGAAGTAGTAATAGTGTCAGTAGCCTCAGTAGGCGTAATAGAAAAAGAAGAGAAATAGTTAAAAGGAGATTTTAGCACTTCGGTTCTAATGGATGATGTTATGACTTTAAGTTGCTGGTCGATTTTTACCCTGTGCTAATTGTTGTGTCCTTGACTGAAGAGATTAGAGAACGGCGTATTTATCGATCGACTACAGTGACACGTACGGACGGCCTAGAGTCTCGATTGGTCTCGCTTCCCTGTCTAGCCCAGTCAGTTGAGTCCAGAACACAAGTCACAACCTCTGAGATATGAATCATTATATTCCAAACATACTTTGTTTATATACCAATCAAGCACACCACATCGTACCATAAAATAGAAAACAACATTTTGTACAATATACAAGTGAACAGATATCGACCAATAGAAAATGTCCATTTAAAGTCCAAGGACACCATTGGACTTAACATGATAATTATTGGTCTATTCCTCCGCATCCACAACAGATGACAAAGAGATGAATAGACTTGTGCCATTTCAAACAATTCTGAGTCATGTCCGTAACCAATTGGTCACAACCAGGTAGTCTGCACCTACCTACAACGTATATATTCTTGTACACACATCTATTCAGAAGAATCATTGTACCTTTTTTCCGTGTCCAATGACATTCACATTAGTCTTGTGTGTATATATATCAGTAGATTCGTTTAAAGGCAAATCAAAATCACAAATACCTGATTATGTAGTGATTTGTTCTACTTTACAGGATGGTTGGTTATCAGGTTGGTTTGGACGTCTCAAGAAAAATGGTCCAAAGAATGTTCATCTACCGGATGATTCTAAGCCTTCTGTAAGTTGTTGAGTCCTGATCGACTTTGTTTATAGGTTTGTGATACATATGTTCATTATAATTATGCTAATAACCATGATTATTGTATACTACTCACTAACCAACCAACCAAACTGATCAGTGATATTCTACCCAAACACACACATGCGCATACCTTTTCTGTTACTTCCTGATAGTTATAACCCGTAAATTAGATTTCACCATACTTTATTATTTTATATTAATCAAAATCACTTCTTGTTGCTGTGTTATTCAGTTTGTAGTTAACTTACACGCTTTTCTACGGATAATTTGTGAATTAGGCAGGATTTTTTTCCCCATTTTGTTTTTGAGTGTGAAACTATTTATGTTTCTAACACAAATTCATTTTTCATCTGTTGATGATTCGTAGATTTGTTAACACAGTTTGTATTACAGAGACGAATTTATTGGTGTTTTTGGTTGCATAACAACCAATACTTAATCACAATTGAGATGTTTATGTTTTTCCATACTTTTCAATAAACCGTGATTATAATATAACTTCACGCTCATTTATCATATGTAAAGCAATAGTTTTATCATTAGTATAGGGAGTCTGTGAAGATTGTTAAAGTTTATAGTTTACACCATGGATGTAGTATAGTTTAAATAATCATTAGAGACCAAGAAGCACTGGACAGTTGTTCTGCTATAGTGTGGAACTTCTTAGCAACGCTCATCTCATAGTCTAACCGGGAATCAAACCAAGTACTTTTCAAACTTCACAATGAACGCTTAACCTATAGATCAGTAAGTTGGTATCTAATGGTTTATCTAGAAGTCACATACTAGAACGATATAGTTGTCCAGCGCTATCTAGTTTTCATTAACAGTCTAACTAAAATCAGTCCGTTATATAAATTAGATAATGATTTCATATTGTACTGTAAATATCTGACTGATATAATTCGGTCAACACATTAATGGTCAGTCAGTCAGCTACAACGTAGGACCAGGCACATATGTGCATCGGTCCAGATTGCCATACCGCATCAGCACACAAGATAAACACCGGATTCATAGCAGTGGTTAGGTCAAAGGTGGTAATATATAAGAGAAAGATTGCATATAGAGATATAGTACAAGAAGAAAAAATTGGTTCGTAAAAAGAAAGATATGAAGCGATTTTAATCTCTTAGTTTAAGGGAAGACAGGGAGTGTATACACCGACGCCATTGTGATCGATCCTGAGCCATGTCACCAAGAGTCTCCAACCATTAGTTATGATAGTCACGCGGACCCCAACTAAGTAGTCTGCATCTACCAACATGGCTCAGACTAGAAGTTAGTGACTGATGCCACGTTTTGGTTTGGCCGCCCCTAACTTTCTTACAACCATCTCCAATACCGGATAGCATTGCACGTCGTGGTAGTCGGTGTTCAGGCATACGTAACACGTGGCCCAACCATCTCAGTCGATGAAGATTCATAACCTCATCAACTGATTTACCATCATTCCCTAATACCCTACGTCTAACCTCACTATTACTTACATGGTGATCCCAACAGATGCCAGCAATATTTTTAAGACATATGTGGTCAAATACTAGTACATTAATCGTTAAACAACTTGACTGGCCTAATATAATTATAGTTAGTTTAATCAACTGATAAAGTTGTTTTAGTGAATCGAATCATCAAGACATCGTTGATTGGTAACTTTTCTTACATTTTACCAATAAATTCCTGATCAGTGTATAACATATGTCTTCATAATCTTAGAATTAACACTCCTAAACTTAATACTTCTAACAACAAAAAATACAACCTTATCCCCTGAAGTTGATAGTTTAATAACAGGCTATTTGTAATTCCATTTTAAAAACATCCCTCATCCGTTCAACAATTTCTATCTTCCCCCATTCTGACTGACTGATCCACTTTTTTCAAGGTCGCCTGTATAGTTTAGTTTTACTAATAAATTTATACGTCTCCTAACAACTCAATTCTATAACTGAATGAAATAAACATTCTCAATAGTTGAAAGCATGAGCCAATTGAAGCTAGACCACCATGTAAAACCTCGAAGTACTGGACCACCGTTTCATCCTATTGTGGGACTCCTCAGCAGTGCGCATCCATGACCTCGCCCCCTGCGAGTTTTGAACCCAGGACCTACTGGTTTCGCACGTAAATTCTTAGCTCATAGACTGCTGAACCGGGATCCAATGAGAAATCTGTGACCTATCCAAAGTCCTACATTGACTATTAGCATGCGCTTAGTAGTGACTGACTTCAGTATGCGATTCTTGGAGTCCTAGCAAGAAGCCATGAATAATAGTAGGGTTTAATCATGTCAAGTGTGAGATAGTTATCTACAGCAGGCAATGAACTATGATCGCACAATATCGTGAATAAAGTTAGATATGTATACCGTTGAATGCCGGCTCAGTAATGTAGAGGCTAGCGTTCACGCATGAAATAGAAGGTCCTGAATTCGATTCCCTATGACGGAGTCGTGGATACGCATTGTTGAGGAGTCCCATACTTGGGCGAGATAGTGCTCCCAGGTTTTGAATGGTTGTTTTACTGAGGTCAGTTTGTGATCGAAAGACTATAGGAAATTTAATACCATTAATAGCAATTGTTTACCGATAGTTGTTTAATCGTATTGTTTCACTTGAGTATAACCATCTTTTCCAAGTTTGTCTCACTGTCTTTTTACGGGTTATGTATATTTTACAATTATAGATAGTTTGGGATGATCGCCTTAAACAATGGATTGATGTGAATGATCCTGACGGAAGTGAATCAAACAAGGTACCACCACCTCCACCAGCATCTTCATTTATTATGCCAAAAAATGATGACAGTTCAATGAGTAATAGTAGTAGTAGTAATAATACTAATAATAGTAGTGCGCTGAATCCACCTCTGTTTCCTACTTATCATCCAGTCTCTGTTCCTTCAGGGTCTATTTCATCACGTACTAGCAATTCTCGGTCACGTTATGTAAATATATTGGCTAGTGATACTTTAGAATCCGGAGCAAATAAATTGATCAATCCACTTCAACCCCCACTTCCACAAACAATTAACAATCCACGTTCATTAAACTAATGAGATCTTTCACATTTGTGTGTAATCCTTTTTTGTCTTCTTCATAAACTATTCTATCTATTAGGTAGGTAAAATCTTATATATTTGTGGTATGTATAATCCCTATTTGTGATTATTATCATTAATCTTAACCATTTTGTATATTGTAATGTGGTTCTTTTTACTCTGCGCTTTATCTCTCTCCTCCTCTCTCTCTATCCATCGTTAACTAACAATGAAATGTAAGTCTCTACGGCCAACTTCATTTTTCATATGATTAGAGATGTGTGTATCAGTACCTTAGAGCCCGATATAAATGTTCATAGAAGTAAGTTGGTACATAAAATCTTTACAGTAATCGCTAAAAATGTGATTAGATATAAAAATGCTTTGAAAAAGTAGAGCTAAGTATAAAGTATTGTTAAAACTGAAGATCTTAAAGGAAGATTAAAAGTGAATTACATATGCTTCATTAAGATTGCTTCTAAAGTATTTTATACCAACGTTTCAAATCACTGATCACTTTTATTGCCCGGATCCCAAATAAATGATGTGTCCCTATCGAAATACGTCAAAACAACGGTCATAGATTTACATGACGTTCTAGTCTGATCACTCCTTGCTTCTTTCCAACCTACTTCTACCCGAGCGAACATTTTGTGCGTTAAAGCAAGCAGTAGCTTGGCCTATGGTATAATCTACATCCCAACCAACGTAGTCGATAAAAGTCCAATAACTCTTCATCCGATTTGCTATATTTGCCTAGCACCTTGCATCTAACCTCAACACTATTCACTCGGCAATGTGTACAACTTGGAGATTGCTGTTACGCTGGAATTAATTGTAATATTTAGGTCCATATGGGTATCACTGTAGGTCTTCCATACAGATCTCCACTTGTTCATTTTTCAGCTATGTTCAGTATACTTACCGTGAAACCGGAACCTGCTACCTTCCGCTTTGAACGCCAACCCTGAGATACAGGTACATCCATCTGGATCTCACATAACATGAAACACATTCTTTTGAATAAACTGCTAACCACGACCAAAGTTTGCTAAAATTTGTAACTACACGCAATCTGCTGAGGATATGCAGATTCCAGTAGAGGCTGAAAGTCCTTGATATCAACAAGAGGGGAACTTATATGCTTACATATATCCATGATGCTCTAATCATGTTCAGTTTTATATTGTCAGTTTGCTTTCTCACTATGCTTTAATGCATAAATTGTGACATCTTAAACTAATGCATATTTATGCCCAGATATGTCACTATCTATGACTCTGCCTCATTATATTTATTGACATTTGCCAAGTGCATAATTGTTTAGTAGGCTTTTTGTATATTGACTAGACTGATTAGTTGAAATACTTGATTTTGCTGGTGCACATATATCGGTAGAATAATAGCCAATTACATAAATCTGTTCTATGCAAAAATGAGTTACCCGTTCAAATTCATTAAGTTCAACAACAATTCATCCGTTATGATCAAGCCTTTTGTTTTGTATGGTATAAAGAATCTTTCTGCTTGAATATCAATCAGTCAGTTTATACCCAACGTAGAACTTGGCTTCTATGTACAACAAGTTCACGTTACTACAACTCATTAACATAATCAAATGAAATTGTCAAGGTAAATCTCAGAGAAGTATGGGTAGTAACAGTATTAGTGGGAATAGAAAAGATTAAGCATAGATGATATGATTCGAGAAAGAAAAATATGGATTAGTGGAATTTAAAAAAATAATTAAAAGGTAATTTTGGGAGATAAGAATCGGAGAACAAAGAGCGAATGAGCCTATATCATTGTAGACGATTTTGAATTGTCACCTAGATTCTCAACAGTCGGTTATACTAATCACACGGACTACAACCTAATCGTTTTTACTTACCTACATGATCAAGTAACAAATAACAGTTTTTCAGTATGGGATTATGGAGATTGTTAGATTTAGTTGAGATCATGAACACCGATCTATGTTGAACAATCATTGGAAACGTGAAAGCACTGGACAGTAGTTTCGTCAGTAGTATTAGACTCCTGAGCAGTGTATATTCATAACCACACAACCGTGTTGGATGTAAGGATGGTACTCACTGTATACAATGAAAAATGGTCGCACAATTTCATGAACTAGTTTAAATTGAACCCCGGTTCATTAGTCTAATTAAAATAATCACGCCTAGAAATTATGTTGGTTTGGATGTTGTTGTTTAATATCACTGAAAAATTAACCCACGTTCTTTTTCTTTTTCAGCAATTACCCTCCAGCAAACTGTTGTATTCATAATATTACACCATGAATCATATGTATGTACGTACATGCATGGATCCACGTGAACTCAGTGAGTTTTGTTCACTCCCAATTAAAAAAAAAAAAGAGAGGAGTTTTCAAAGCACAATTCTAAGTATTACATGAATCAGTGAGGAATAATACATTTTAATGTAGAAATAAACAATTTCTTAATACAAAAATGAACTTTCCCTTTATCTCTTCCAGTTGAAAAAAGATAAATAATTATATAATTTATATACTATTGACTTCTTTGATTAGTTATTATTTCCCATTTGGTTTCTTTTTAATTTCTCGAAGGTTGTTGTTACTAAGCTCTTTTGTTCTTCTTCTTTTTCTTCTACTCTGGAAAGCGTCATGAAATTTAAACTATTTTTGCCGCCTCCCCTCTCCTTTCACATTTGGTTACAGCTCATCATCACTTTAATATTGTTATTATTTAAATTGCACACAATGATTCCCTAATCTGTGATGTTGTTGATAATGATCATATTTCATGTTCATACTATCTTGTGTTTTTCTTCTTTCTTTCTTTCTTTCTTCGCTTTCTCGTTTGTCTTTTGTTGAACATTTTATTCAATTGTCAATATTGATGAAATTCTTCCTTCATTCCCACCCCACCCCCATCTTCATCTTATTATTTTGGCAATCTCTGTTTATTTTAGTTAATTTGTTGCAAGAATGTTCTAAGATTGAAAACAAAAGTACACACATACACACAGTGACAAAAATGTTTTTTAAAAAAAATTATTTCCCCCTATTTCTAACCGGTATTTCTTTTGGTGTATATATGTGTGTGTGTGTGTGTGTGTAAAAATCATAAATACACATGGCTAAATATAAGTTTCTCTTTAATGGTGATTTATTGTCGATGTTGTGTAAATATCCGATATTATTATTGTTGTTCAGACTTTATTGTATACCACTTACATGCTAATTAGATATAGTACCTGAATCGTGGTGTTATTGTTCATATTTTGAGCATGGAACCTAACACCTTAAGCTAATATTATCACCATTATCTTACCTAGCAGTAGGCTATTTGGTTTTAAGTCTCCATGTGTGGATATCAAAACTAGGATGTAGATATACTAGTTTGTGTAAATCAGACAAAACTCGCGTTCTGTACTAACCATTATTACAAAAATATCATCAACCTGTAGCCAAAAGGATAGGTTGTATCGAGGCATCTGTAAACAATAAGATTTTCAGTGTGTTAGGTTGAGGCTAGATCATGAAGGTACTTAAATGTTTTTATTGTTCCCCAAATGCCCTGGTACGCCCGAGAGTGGGGAGAGTCAGCTCTTTCATATGGCCACGTGCATACAACCACTGACAGGGAAGTCCTACCCACTGCTTTCTCGCAACACGAATGTCGTTTACGAAATTCAGAGGACAAAAACCGAATGTCTGGCGCTCTAACCGGGTTAGTGGACACGGGGAGTTGGAAAACCCCGATTCCAAACCAATGATGTGCATGAGATCCAGAGGAAACAGATGTATGGACCAACCGTTGGTCACCTGCTACCATGGGACTGCATCTCCTAACGTTGCTCTACTGCGTTGTGGATTGAGTTTTTATGTCAAAGGCTCGGGGTGTGGCCCCCCTAAGAAAGCCATCAGCTCCGGTTTGGGTGTGCAGGCAGTATCGCAGCCCTCACACAAATCGAACGATGAAGTGTGGCACATCTATTTTGTGCCTCTTTGTACCAATATTTATGTGTTTAAAGAAATAAATGTTTGTATTGCTTATTTCCATTTGTTTAACGATAGGACAGATTATACATTTGTACTGTAATTAGATCACTTAACAGCATAAATGAGAATGTTCAGTAGGGAAACATTGTCTGTTTCTAGCACAAATCAATCATAATTCATACTCAGATACTGCAGCCGCATTCGACTACTGATTTTATATACCTCCTACCCGGTATCTAGCTCTGAGGTACATTTTATGTAGGATGACTAATCGGCTGTTCGATTTGAAAGGTGTGCAACGCGGTTAAGTGATTTGACGGCTAAATCACTTTACGACCATTTCTACGTAAGATGGGGGTTTATATTTTAGCAGCGATAGCGGTGCAAATTCAGCAATCATTTCGTAAGAACATCTTGTCCTAATGAAAGATATTAAAAGAAATTCTTTGTGAAACTATGATGTGCAGTAAAAATATCCCTATGCAGCATACAATAATAACAATACAATCGCGCTATTAGTAATTGAAAAAAATGAAAAGTTCATATTGTGATCGACATTTAACGGAATTGTGGACGATGCGTTAAAGCGGTAGTTACTAAAAAGAAGGTCCTATCCTAAGGAACACTTCCATAGTAACATACATCTTGAAAGCGGTTCCGTTTAATAGGTGGGTAAGGAAATGGAAAATGATATGATACATAAGAGAAAAATCACTGGAACTTAACTCATATAGTCGTTAGGTAGAAAATACTAAGAATACTTTAAAGGTAGCAGTTGCAACCTACGTTGTTTGTCGATGTATACTGCTTGGGCATTCTACCATCTTACATAATGCAGTTTATATCAGTACACAACACTATATTATCCAAAGCTAGGGAGCATTAAACACCAGGAACCACTCCTCTTCTTTACTGGTAAAAACCTAAATGATTGATAAAAATCACTATCGTTATAGTGGCAAAGAAACAACCAGAGGAACGTTAATAGTGAAGACTAATTATGACTAATATTACCACGGATAATAAAGCAAAACTAGTAGCATTCATTTCCTGATAGATTATGGAGAAGATAATACTGTGGTACCATTCATATTCACTAATTCTTACAATTACTACCCAATGCATATGTGCATTAATAACAACCTTAATTTGCAGCTTATGTACACCATTTACATGGGCATTTATTATTGCAATAGTGTAGCTTCCAATTAACGTTGCTTTGTGCACGTATAATCTTCACACACTGGTTTGAGATAAATGTTATACGTAGTGTTAGCTTGCATGGTTTAGGAAATCTTAACTATACGAGTTTTGTTTAGTGGCACAAACTGTCACAAAAAAATCCTTCACGTTGACCCAACCGCATAACACAAAACACATTCTGATAACAAAAAATATTATTTATTTATTTATTTGAACACATAAATATTGGTACAAGAGAGCGCCAATATATATGCGCCACACAAAACAACGGGAATTCGAAGAGAAGTAGAAAAAAAAAAAAAAAAAAAAACTAAGGAACGCAAAAGAAAGAGAGAGTAATGACGAAGAGGTACAATCAGAAGAAATCTTTCAGTTAAGGAAGATACAACCACTTTTTATGAAGAAAGTAAAAGAAGGTTACAGCAGGATCGCCACTGGCTTCTATTCTGAGCCATATCTGATAACGTCTCTAGCCACTGTGTAGCGCCATCTCTCGGACCCCAACCAGGGAGTCGTGAAGGTCCAACACAAGCCAGTCCTTTGCAGCTTTCTTTCATGCCACGACACCATGTCATGCACTGACCACCTCTCCGCTTCTTCCAACCAGTCCCAGAGTCGGCAAATAATGCACGACGTGGAATTCTCTGGGACGACATTCGGAGAACATGTCCAAGCCACCGAAGTCGGTGTTTCAAGATGGTGACACCAATTGAGTTATCATCTCTGTGCCCGAACACACGATGCCGAACCTCTGCATTACTGACTTGGTGTTGCCACTGAATGTCAGCAATCCTTCGGAGACAGCGATGATCGAACACAGAGAGTCGTCTAACGTCCTCAACTCGGAGAGGCCAGGTTTCACAAGCATAGAGCAAAACTGCTCTCACCGTCGCGTTGTAGATCCGACCTTTTACAGCCAGACTAACATCACGAAGGCGCCAAAGGTGGCCCAGATTGGCATAAGCCGCTCTGGCTTTCACTATTCGTGCATTGATCTCATCACTCACACCCCCACCAGCACTTATGCAGCTACCCAGATACACGAACTTCTCAACTACGTCTATCTGCTCACCATCCAGGGTGAGTACAGGATTGGAATCCTGCCAGTCTTGTAGAAGTACTTTGCACTTCGAAGGTGCAAAGCACATACCATACCTACGGACATTGATTGCCAACTGATTAAGTGCGGATTGCATGCCTTGGGCATTATCGCACAGTAAGACAATATCGTCCGCATACTCAAGGTCGAGAAGTCTTTCTCCAGGCAACAGATCCACACCACCATTACTTACATTCATCAGAGCTGTTTCCAGAATGTCATCGATGGCAAAGTTGAAGAGGAATGGTGAGATTGGGCAACCCTGCCTAACCCCACTGCTCGAATGGAACAATGGAGAGAGGTGGTTGTATGCCCTCACTCTGCCTGAGGTGTTTTTATACAGGGCTTTTAGGATGTTAATAAACTTCTCAGGCACACCCTTCTTCAATAGACAATCCCAGAGAATAGTCCTATCCAACGAATCGAAGGCAGCCCTGATGTCAAGAAACACTACGATTGTTGGCCTTTGATAAGTATGGCGGTATTCTAACATTTGGCGGAGGGTGAAGATATGATCAATACATCCTCGACCAGAACGAAACCCAGCCTGCTCCTCGCGAGTCAATCTTTCTCGGGTTTTGAACAACCTACGAAGAATGACGGAAGCCAATAGCTTGGACGCAATCGGAAGTAAACTTATCCCCCGATAGTTGTTACAAGAACGACGTGAACCCTTTTTAAAGATAGGGACAACTATCGACTCATTCCATGACGTTGGTACACTCTCTAGTTCCCAAACCTTTGTAAACAACGTCGTCAATTCCTTAGTCAAAAAGTCACCACCATCTTTAAAAAGAGCCGGAGGTAAGTCATCTGGGCCAGGTGATTTGTAACGCTTCAAGAGTTGGAGTTCCTTGCGGACTTCCTCCTCATTTGGTGGATCAGTCGTCACCGGCCATGGAGGGCAGGACAGTCTGACCGATGTTGCCGGAGCAGCAGGCCAGTTGAACTGCCCTTCGAAAAATTCTGCCCATCGTCCAAGACGTCGATGGATTTTAGTGATTGGCATCCCATCACCCTCGCAGATTGTTTCACTCACACCAGACTTCTTGCTGCCAGTGGCTCGGATGAGTTGGAAGAGCTTCCGGTAGTTACCAGATGCAGCTGCTGCTTCCAGCTCATTAGCACGCATCGACCACCAGGCTTCTCGGTCCTTACGCAAGCTTTGCCCGATTTCCTTACGTAACATCCTTCGTTTATGGTCAAACTCACGGTCACCCGGAGTAGACCGACGGGCTTCAATGAGTTGTAAGGAACCAGAAGAAACCCAGTGCTTAAAAGCGGGACGTTTCGCAAACCCACAACTGACTGTTCCCGCCATTTTCATGGCGTCATGCAATTGCAACCAATGCTCATCTATACTTTTCGGTGGAGTGGTAGCTAGCCTAGAGGCTAGCTCGGTTCGATACTTACTTGCAACAGAAGTTGCAACCAGCTTGCTAACATCAATCCGTTGATGGCGTTCACTTCGTTGTCCACTGAAAAGTAAGGCAAGATTGGCGCAGACCAAGGCATGGTCAGAGTCCAGATAGGTACTCCAAAAGGAGCGGCAGTCTTTTACACAACCACGCCAGCGGTAGCTGATCGCGATGTGATCAATCTGAGTCCAGGCTTGAGATGCAGAGGGAGGACGCCAGGTGGCACATCGGCGATGACTGTGCCGAAAGTTAGTGCTAGCCAGAAACAGGTTGTGGTCTGTGCAAAGTTGCAGTAGACGGTCCCCGTTATCTGACCTGCGACCAACGAGTCCCCATCGGCCACCTAAACGACTCTCTTCTGTGCCTAGACGCCCGACCTGAGCATTCAAGTCTCCGGCTAGTACTACAATATCTGTCGAACGCCCTTTCTGGAGAAGAACTGATAACTGGTGGTAAAACTCATCCTTGATTGCATCCGGGCTGCAATCTGTCGGGGCATAGGCGGAGATGACGAAAAGACATCGTTTCTCACGCC